TTCCCTACAATGCCTGCGTTTCCTATAGTAGATGGTAGATCACTGCATCATTCATCAGGAATCTCTGTGTAAGTCTGTATTGCAGCTTAAATCATGTTGTGAATCCAGTCGTAAGACTTATTAACTTTATACGAGCAAGGGGACTTAATCCCCCCATCAGTTTATTACGTTCCCGGAGGAAACCGATGTGGATCACCAGGACTTACTTTACCACTCTCCAAGTGTTTCAAAGAGTGTTAGAGCTCAAAGAGGAGATTAGCGCATTTTTGGAGTTAATGGGGAAATCCAGCGAATTTACTGAGCTGAGTGACAACAACTGGCTTTGTGACTTTGTGTTTGCTGTGGACATTTTTTTCACACATGAATGAGCTGCAGTTTGTGTACGACATGTACACAAATGTGAGAGGCTTCAAATCCAAGCTGACTTTATTCTCTTTCAGACAAATTTCAAACAAATCTTTTGCTCATTTTCCCACACTAGCCATGCAGAAAGAGGCCACCCGAAACGCGAAAAAATACAGCAAATCACTGGACGACCTGCATGGAGATTTCTGCCATTGGTTCTCTGATTAAAAAAAAAATACTGACAAGTCACTTCAGTTGGTGTCCTGTCCCCTGTCACCAGACCCTGCATGGAGATTTCTGCCATTGGTTCTCTGATTTAAAAAAAATACTGACAAGTCACTTCAGCTGGTGTCCTGTCCCCTGTCACCACCTACAGGAGCTGCAATTGGAACTAATTGATCTTCAGTCTGACTCTGTTTTAAAGGAGAAGTTCAACTCTCTTAAACTGAATGATTTTTATGCTTCACTTAACAAAGCCACGTTTCCAAACCTCCGGAGGATGACACAGAAGATGGCGTTGTTTGGCTCGGCTGAGCGGACATTCAGCGTATGAACATCAACAAAGCCAGTCACAGATCCATGTTAACTGACCAGCACCTCAGATCTATGCTGAGAATAGCCACAACAAAACTAACGCCAGACTTTGACCAACAACAACAGACCAACAGCTGACATTGGGCAAGAGTCTTGCTGGAGTTATGACCCTTACTTCAGCTGCCCATCAGGAGCCTGTTGGTCTCCCATGTGTTTGCAAACTAGACTATGCTGACTCAGTTGTGTCAAAAACAACAGCAGAAGAAGTACCTAGCCAGCTCAGACTGTGATAGAAGTGCTGGGTTACCACTGAACAAAAACTACATTTCATACATTCTACAAGACAATCAACCCTGTCTGCTTCTTTGCTGTCCTTACAAGCCAAGAAGCACTCAATGAGGTGTCTTTGCTGAGATACACCACTATTTTTACAGGACTAGTAATAAAAAATTCCACTTGCTGCAGTGGTACAACCATCACTTAATGGTCAGTTTTCTCAGTGTCACTCAGGCTGTGGTGTAGGCTCGTGTTCATACTTTTCATCTCCACCATGTGTTTCTATTTATTTTTACAGGGGAAAAAAACACACAGCTGTGTGTCTTATCTGCTTCACAAAGCACAGACAAAAGGAATCATCAAGATAATATTAAATAGCAGAGGCTATTTTAAAAGTGAGAGAGAATGAAGAATAAGGGTATGAAAAAGTAGAGAGGCAGTCCTCCAGTTTTACGAAGCATCAGCAGATGAAGGAGTGGGGACTGCACTTGACTGGCTTTAAATAAATAAAGATTCCAGAGAAAAGACATGTACTGTAGAAACTACATGTTGTATAAATTATAATAAGTCTCAAGTGCAAGAAAATGACATCTCATGAATGGATGTTGGAAGGTCTCATGATAGTGCGAGCTTCATTTCCTGGGCTTGGAAACTAGTTTTAAAGAAAAGTCTTATCAGTTACTCGGCTTTTAAAATCACATGCTGGATTCTCACTGCTGTTACCTCTCTACAGTCAGCAGCAGTTACCAATTTTACTGTTTTACTGTGCTTTTTTAAAACTTGTCCTAACAGCCCTATTTAAATCCAAATATAAAGATATTATTTAGTAATTTATTATTGAATGGTTTATTTTCTTCATGTTTGTTGAACTGTTTGTTTGCCTGGAGGCTTGTTTTTGCCGTTCAGCCAACCTGCTGTCTACTAACTTGCTGTACAAGTAATTAATTAGAATGAATTGAATTTATTGTACTAACTAAAGACGGTCTCTATTTTCTTTCTAATTACCAAATTGCAAAGGTCTTTCCAGGAAACTTCAAGGAAAATACAGGCCCCTAAAATACAGTTGTTACCCTAATATTTTAGCTCTGCCAAAATCCAGTTGGGTCAATTTTTACTTGACTGTATTCTCTAATAACCCTCTATTATGCTCTGCTCATTCATAGCAGTACAGTCTGCAATGACTCAAAAAGTGACTCCCGTGTGGTGCAGCTGGCCCTTTCCCCAATGTCCTACTTTATCAGATTATTGAGCGCCAGATTAATTTGACTTAGGGCTCCTGGGTAATTTAGTCATTTTAGCCAAATTGGCGGTGTGGCAGATGCTTCATTTAAGACCACATATCAGCTTTCACTCCCACGGTGATACTTTAATCTGGGAAGTGGAGGAATAAAGAGAAAGAAGATTAAAAGTAAAGAGGACCAGGGATCTACTGTTACTGGACATTTTAGAATATTTGTGTCATGTAACTCAATCTCTCATTTACACACACACACACACACACACACACACACACAGGATACTTGGCTATTCAGCTGGAACACAAGTAGCTGCTGACAGCAAACACCTGTGGTCTGCCACACCTCCATCTGAGCTGACCATGACCTCTGGCCTCTCTGAGGAGAGGAAGCTGACAGGACACATTTTTCTTTTAGCATTCAGAACAGGCCACAGGAAAGACGCACACTTTGCATTTACAGTATATGTGTGTGTTTTTGCAGAGCGACAGAACCACGCTCGGGAGCTGGTGAGAGAGGCCGACCTGTCACAGTGGGATGCGTTAGTCATCTTGTCAGGAGATGGACTCCTCTTTGAGGTAAACAGAGACACGGCACATGTAGCAGGTGCTCAGGTACCTGAGTGTGGGACTTTAGGACGAAAAAGTCAACATTCATCCGGGATTATAAACTTCTGTCATCATCAACCAAAATGTCTGTTGTGCACAAAGATGAACATTACCACCTATAAATAAAACTACATCGGAGACAAATGGATCTCTTGAATTTAGAGCACTAAGTCTTATCACCAACATAAATTATGTCCTTATTAAAGTCAAGGAGTCGTCAGCGTTGCTATTCTTGACATCTGCTGAGTCCATCAGAAAGTCTCACATATGCTAAACTAAATGATTTGAACAGTATAATACTGTATATTTATTAAACTGTTTAATATAAATGAAGGTTAGGGTTACAGATAGAGCTGAAGCAATTAATCAGTTAAGTTGATCGAGAGAATAAAAAGCAATGAATTGCAAAAATGTCCATTCCTCTTTCACATTGCTGTAACCTGAATACCTATATTAAGTAATTTGAACACGTCTCCTTGGGTGTTTGGAAATTGAGACAGACATTTCTCATTATTCTCTGTCAGTTGATAGACCAGAACATTTATGGAAAAAAATTTATTGGCAGATGCAGCCCTACATATAAATATAACAGATGAACATATTTTATATTAATAAACTAGCTTTTTGTCAAGATTAGGTATCATTTGTTGAGGTACTGTCTATGCCCACAGTGCACCCAATGCCTTTGTCTTTAGGGCATATTCTGCAACTGAAATTCACATTAGTTCTTTGATACTTAACTTGGAGAAATGACTGAATTTGTTAAATGAAAAAATGGTTTTGTAGAACATGTTTATATTCTTCAGAGGATTAATCTTGTCAAGACACAAGCAGCAGCCCCCGACAAAGTTTTGCCTAAATAAAAAAAAAGTCAAAATTGTCAAAATAAAGACTGTGAATATGCCCAGCTTTCAGTATTTGACAGGTTTTGTGCCAAGTTGTACTGATACTTATCCCTGCCTGACACTTGTACTGGAGTCTTTACTGCTAGCACCACTGGCTAGTTAATATGCATTTCTCTTAATATGCATTAATTTCACCTAATTAAAGCTGTATTTTCTCTGGTCACCAGGTGATAAATGGTCTGCTGGAGAGACCAGACTGGGAGGAAGCCATCCGTACCCCACTGGGTATCCTTCCTGGTGGATCAGGCAACGCCTTGGCTGCATCCATACACCACTACTCTGGGTGAGCCACATGCACAAGCATGAATGAAACTAGCCATCAGCGCGCTGAGTTGATCTGCCCAGCCCTGTAGAAATATGTAGTGTGGTTATGATACTGTATGTCTCGTGGTTGTCTGGCTAGGTTGATTTACTGTAACAGAGTTTCAGTAATTTGTCATTTATCTAATGGGCTGATTGACAGAAAATTAACTGGCAAGTGTCTTCATCCTCAATTAGTTAATCTTTTTTCAAGCAAACATCTTCTAGTTCCACCTTCTCAGATTTAAGGAGTTCCTGCCACTTTATGTTGTGAGCTTTTTAAAAAAAAATTACAATTTATTCACAGTAACCGGGAGATTAATAAGTAGTGAAACAATCATTAGTTTCTGTGTATAAGGACAAAGAATTTCTGCATTGCGTGGAGCTCCACAGAAACCACTCTAACCGGTTAGGTAAGATTCTAACTTAAGCCGTTCCAGGCGTGGGACTGAGTTTCATTTGCATGCATGAAGTATGTTCATACTGCATACAGTTTAAGTGACGTTATGCAGAGGGTAGAGTTAACCACAGTGGTCAGAGAAGTACAACACATCAACCTGTCCCCTGTCAACCAGCACTGTCTGTGCTCTATGGAAGACTGGACCGACTGTAGCTCTTAGTAAAAGTAGCTCTGGCCATTGTTATAATCATGTACACAATGTACAAGTTTTTCTGACATCATCCTTATAATAACAGGTTACAGTGCTACTATTTAAAACATTATGGCCAGCTCCAGACACAAGTACTGTGAGAAGGCAATGATTAAATCAATTAGATGTAGTATTTTTAGCATAATTGTTGATGTAGTACCAGACAGACATGGTCTGCGTGTTTTTCAGTGTAAAATGCACTCATCTCATTTGAATTAACTATTAATGATTTACTCGTTTGAGTGATTGAAGTTTGTTCAGCCAGAACAAAAAGGAGAAAGGAGAACCTGAAGGACACAAAGACAGAGGGAATGACTGACAATAATACAATCACAGCAACTGTTCACTCACTCATTCACTACAAGTGAATACGTACATAATAGCCTCTCTAGAGTGAGTGAGTGAGCTCAGACACTTACTGTATCATCATTCTTACATCCTCACTGATCAGCTGTAGTGTCACATGACTAAAATTTTTATATTAAAAAAATGCGAAGCATTGCACCATGGGATTGTCAGCAGAAACATGGCATGAGCTTTACATATCACTTACATTTTTTCTGACATTACCCTAACAATCAGAATTCAAACACTAGTAATGATAGATATTCGATACTGATATAATAACAAGTGACTAACATAATAATCTTGATACAGCAGCCTTAGATGTGCTTTTCTAGATTTCTGACTAGACACACTGTGTGAGACATTTTATATTCGAATGAGCTTGTCAGCGCTCTCTGCTGGAAAACCTGTGTAATAGCGTTTCTAAGTCATCAAGTCATTGACTAATGATAGAGCACTGGTTCTCCATCTACAGGCCACTGAACATTTGCTAACCTACAGGAAGGAAACTATGGTTTAGGAACTTAAATATTACCGAGCACTTTAGCCTCTCATAATTGCCCCTGTGATGCTCACAACAGGACAATACTGTGACGACCGCTGGCTGGGTTGAGGGGGGCTGGTCCGATCCTAACCTAACTGTGCAACTACTATCCAGCTGTGTGCTGGCACCTAGACTGACAATGAGGAGAACACAGTCTGTCTTTTCTTGGCTTTATTCAGGTGTACAAAAACACGAAAGAAAAGGGTTGTAAAACGCAGTACTGTGTGCTCACTGGAAAAGTAACAAAACAGAACATTACAGGTCTCTTCCAGAACTTTACCATCGCCCGCCAACAGAACCTAAAACCACACGCCCACCTGTCATTCCTCTTATACCCTCTCGCACCTGTTCCTCCCCCCATCCCACATTGGCCAGAACAGCGCGGCATTTTGCTAGAAAACAGCGGTAACCAATACATGAACAGCTTTCAACAACAGTGTCAAACCCATTTGGACACAACAGAACACACGAACATCAGCGGCCGGTCAGGGTCGCCACAATACTTAAGGACCGTACTGAAGTGGGTTCTTAGTATGCAATATTAAATTACTATTTGTTTTATCTGTCATTTTGTATTCAAGCGTGGTTGGATTTGTGTGTCTGTTTTGTTTTGTTTTTTCCAGTGGGACTCCAGACTAGATTCACTTCAGTTCATTAAGTTGTATTTGTATAGTGTAAGTTCACAACAACAGTCATCTCAGGGCACTTTACAAAGTTCAGGGCCTTATATTATATAGAAAAACTCAACAAATTCCACTTGAGCAAGCACTTGGCAACAGCGGGGAGGAAAAACTCCTTTTAACATAAAGCTCTGGATAGATCCTGGCTCCTTCTGCCTCGACTGATTGGGGTGATTGGATAGATAAAAACTAAATTACATAAAGCAGCAATCAAATCAAATCAAACAAAAACACCTTACACTGATGCTTCTGTCTTCACCAATGAGCTAAATTAATTCATCCCTTTGCCTGCATCTGCCAGCCAGCTTCTCATCAAACAATGGTCTTCCAGTCAGAACGGCAGCAGCCATCAAAGGAAGAGACCAGACTATGCATTGTTTATCCTCCTCTCACACTCCCGATCCAGAAAACATCTCTCTCTTTCTCTCTGGGCGCTGCAGGCTGTCCTGCAGTGGCCCTGGCCACAGTGTATTTGGTATTATTCCCAAATGAATGTCAGCTTCACCAAGGCTATGAGGCTCAAACAAGTGACGGCTAGAATGTATCTGGTATTGTGCAATGCAGAAAACAGGTTCACTGGGTGAGGGTGTAATGTGTTCCTGTGCACAGACATAATGAGCATGAGTTGGAACAACGTCTGCCAGGCTGATGCTCATGGTCTCTGAAATGTCAGATGTTGATGTGGGAGAGTCTCCCTCCCCTGGCAGTTTACAGATACTGCACATAAAGTTTGAAATACATTTACAGGATCTGGAAAGATGTGAAGCTTAACCAGTTTGTGAGCAAAACAGTTGCTTAAATCTAATTTTAGGTGCCATTCTTATTGGTACTTGGATATTGTACTTTTACATTTCCAATGCAACAATGAAAGCATAAATAACTGCATTCAAAATCCTACTCAAGTAAAAATACGGTAGTTTTATCTACAAAATGTATTTTAAAGTTCTCATTTAGCCATTAAATGTCCCCTGTGAGTTATATTATTGTGTATGTGACAATACATTACATAATTCATAAATACACAAGAAGCATTTTACAATTGTAGCCGACCTAGTTTTCTACTTTACTGTTATATACTGTAGTTTAATGCAATCTAGCCACAGGGGTTGCACGCCAGTGACTTCTGTGCCAGCCCCAAGGC